GTTAGGGTGGGGGAGTGAAATCTTGGGTCACTGGTGGAGGTATGCTGACCTTGGTGGTAGGTTCAGTGTTGAAACAGTGCATGCCTGGGATTTTATTATTTAAAGCACTGTGAACCACAATGCCTAAATTAAAGACATATATTTAAAGAATGGATCATAAAATAGGATTTTATATTTCTGAAAGAAATTAGCTGTAGATTTCAAAACACATTTTTCAAATATAAATATGGGAAAAGACATTACATCCTAACAGTGTCCAAGAGAGAGAATAATAGCTCTACTATCAAGCTAAATAGACTTTGATTGAAAATTATTATAAGGTTCAAATAATGACTTTATAAATTGATGAAAGGTAAATCCCCAAAGATATTAAATGTGTAGCACTGCCCTCACGTTGTTCATTGATTTGCTCAAGCGGGCATCAGTAATGCATTGTGAGACTTGTTACTGTTTTTGGCATATCAAATATGCCACGGGGAGCTTGCCAGGCTCTGCCGTGCAGGCGGGATACTCTTAGTAACTCGCCGGGCTCTCCGAGAGGGGCGCAGGAATCGAACCCGCATCGGCCGTGTGCAAGGCAAACACCTTACCCGCTGTTTTACCGCTCCAGCCCTAAAAGTATAAGTATATATAATTCTCACAATAAAGCTACCAATATATAAATCAAGAATTGAGAGAATTGAAGGGACATACAGACAGCTGTAAGTTGGATATTTCAATATCCCAATAGGGTAACACACATAGCAAGTAGATAATAAAGAACTTGCATAACATTATTAACTTAACTTCTGTAGAACATCCCATCCAACAACAGAAAAGTACATTCTTTTCAAATACACAAGAAGATTTCAAGAATATACCACATATTAGGCCACAAAAGTGAGTGGCCTAGTATGTGGTAATTTATTTATTTATTACAATAAATTGTAAATGATTGAAACCATATCAAGTATCATCTCTATAATAATGTGATGGTTCCAGAAACTGCTATAAGACTGAAGTATAAAATCCATAAGTAAAGTAAAGTAAAGGCCCTCCCGTTGTTCGTCGATTTGCTCGAGCGGGCCCAGTAACGTCTCCATTGGAGACTTTGTTGTTACTGTGTTTGGCATATCGAATACGTCACGGGGAGCTTACCAGGCTCTGCCGTGCGGGCGAGATACTCTTGGTAGCTTGCCGGGCTCTCCCAGAGGGGCGGAGGAATCGAACTCGGGTCGGCCATGTTGGCTGCATGCAAGGCAAATGCCCTACCGCTGTGCTATCGCTCCTGTGAAAATAAAGTAACTGACTTTTAAACTAAATAGATCAAAAGAAACCCTAGAAATATATTCTGATGATTGAAAACAAACACACCACATATCAAAAATTATCACGTGTAACAAGAGCAGCAGAGGAATACTTATAAACTTCAAATACATACATTTTTAAATTGAATAATTTAGCATTTAGCAGATCTTGATTTAATTCCTGGAACTGCATGGTCCTCTAAACATTGCTGGGAGTGGGCCCTGAGTACCACCAGGTGTGAACTGACCCACCCTTCCCCCAATACCCTGAATTCTGTAAAATAAATGGTTCAACATTATATCTAAAGAAATTATAAAACGACAAATCTGCTCCAGATATGAATGAAGATAAGATAAATGTAATGTTGATTGCAACGCAATTTACATTAACTAAGATAAAACACAACCCTGTCACTGTCACTATCATCCCGTTGTTCATCGATTTTCTCAAACTGGCCCAGTAACGTCTCCACCGTGAGACTTTGTTGTTACTGTGTTTGGCATATCGAATACATCACAGGGAGCTTGCCAGGATTTCCCATGAGGGCGAGATACTCTCAGTAGCTTGTGAGGGAGGCTCTCCGAGAGGGGCGGAGGAATCGAACTCAGGTCGGCCATGTTGGCTTCATGCAAGGCAAACGCCCTACCCGCTGTGCTATCGCTCAAGTGTTTTGTTTTGTTTTGTTAACCAAGACAAAACACAACACTAATGCCCAACAATTATTTAGTGGATAAAGAAATTGTGGTATTTATACACAATGCAATTTTATTAGATTATAAGAAAAGATGAAATCTTGCCTTTTGTAATAACAAGATGAAACATGAATTGATCTAGAGTATGTCATGTTAAGCAAAATAAGTCAGAAGGAGAAAAATATATGCAGGATACTCTCTTATAGTACTTTAAAAAGAACAAAGCAAAGCAAGAGACAATGTCCAATGACAATAACCCCTTAGACCATTTTCCCCAAGTTGGCCAATACTGCATACTGCCACCTGGGGGAACTGGAATTGTCCATGGGGACAGTGCAAGTCCTGGTACAATTTGAGAGTGCATTCATTTTGCTTAAAGAAGAAAATTTTTAGGGGGACAATGACTTTTTTCTTAAAAGGGGGCAGCAAGCCAAAAAATGGGAACCACTGGTAGACTCTGACAACAGAATTGAAAAGTGAGGGGTGGAGATAGAGGTGAGAGAGTTATATAGGGAGGGAAGAGGCTTACAAGAAAGAATCTAGGGACAGTGCTGGAAGGAAATTGGCTCATTGGTGCTGGGTGTAGTGCAGTAACAATATTTACCTAAAGCATTAAGATTAATAATAATAGTAATGAAACACACTTTGTTTATAATAATGAGTATATTGAAAGTAAAAGATGGAAAATATATCATACAAATGATAACAATAACAAATTTGTTAGTTACATAGATTTAATACAAAGTCATCTTTTGACAAGAAATATTACTGGAGATACAGGCACATTGTATTATGTCAAAAGGAAACAAGACCACTAAGCTATTCAGACTGGGTGTTATGACTGAGTTCTGAACTCTGGCAATTGATGCAGGTGCTGTGTTGTGTGCTGTCTCCCCTCTCTCCGCCCCATCCTCCTCCACTCTCATATAACAACACTAAGCCTCCAAGTCAGAGCCTAAATTTTCATCCCCCCACATAGGGGGATTTCTAAGGCTTTGTTGGCTTATAATCCAAAAAGAACAAATGTTTTGACGCTTGGGGTCACACAGATTTTTATGGAACAAGTAGACATTCATGGAGAAATGAAGAATTCACATTGCAGTTAAGGGAGGGATCTGTGTCTAGACAAATGTCCCAGTGATTACAGCCCACATAACCTGGCATAACCCTTCTCCTCTACACTAATGCCTTTCAACATTTTTACACCTGCAGACCAGCACCTGTCCAGCACCTGTCCTGCATGCTGCACAGATTAGCAGTTATAATCAAGGTGGCTGACTGGTGTTTTTCAACCTTTCTATACTGCAGACTGGCACCATAGTTGAAGAACACTGTTTTATATTGTCTTTGATAAGCTTCTGCAACAATTAGAGCTTGGGTAACAAAACTTCTTCTCAACCTCAGAATTTGCAGGAGGTCTGGCAAATTTTGGAAAGCTGACACCCTTCCCCATGTCATTGGAACTCCAGCAAGCTATTTGGTCATTGTAGACGACTGATGACAGCAGTCACTACTTCTTAGGCCTAGATAAAATGTCTATGAGTTTATACAGAGAATTGGTATGTCACAAAAGAAAGGGAACAGCAAGAGATTTCATACCCAGAGTGGTCTTCACTACACAGTGCCAGGATTGAATGAGAGCCATAGGGCATCTTAGTGACAGAATGAATGAAAAAGAAATTTCTTCGGAAATCATCCTGAGTGTCAGTGAAACTCCAGCAGACAATGAATTTCAAATTATGAAGGAAATCAATAAAATACATAAAACTCCCAAAAGAAAGAATGAAATATTAATGAAATAAACGGCAGGAACATAGCAGATTCTTCACCAAAAAGATTAAAGCTATAAAAACATTCTTAACATAGAATAGATATGCAAATCACAATGAAATGTAAAGCACGTAAATTGGATCAATCTCACAGAAGAAGTTAAATTGAATAAATTTCCAATAATGACTCAAGTGAAAGAAAAGAAATAAATAAGAATTAGGAAAAATGTAGACACTCTTAGAGTCCTTTAGAAGAGGTAATCCTAGAAAAATGGGAATATCAGAAGCAAAAGTGAGAAGGAGGGAAACAGTGTGCCTAGGTAAGAAAATAATATCTAAGAACTTTCCAAACCTATGGAAAGAATTAACCAGAATTCTAGAAAGCCGCAAAAACACCAAAATTTCTAAATTAAAAAAATACAGAGGCACACCATCTCTTAATTATAAATTAAAAATAAATAAAAATATAAAAGTTGTTAGGGAAAAAATAAAAGTAACATGGAAAGTCACTCTGATCAGGTGATCATTAGATTTGTCAAAAGAATCCATACAGGGTAAGCTAAAGTGGAATTATACATTCATAATTAGAAAATATAGATATTTCTTGTCAAGAGCATTCTACCATGGAAATTATTATTCAAATATTGTAGAGATGGGGCGAGAAAAATGGTACAGAATTAATGGAATTTGCTACAACTGAATGTGCAGTATGAGCAATGGTGAAATAAGTAACAATAAGTAATGATAAATAATAATAGAGAAATGTAAAAATATAAGTTAACAACAAAGCATCAAAAGGAAAGGAAAATAGGACAGAATTTGTCTAGTTTATATGTCCATTCAATACCAATATAAAAGGTCTATCCTAGTAGCATAAACTTAAATAATTATCATTATCACCAAAGAATACAAAGCAGTATTTCTGATTAACATAGGTACAAATATATTTTAAAAATTACTGAAAAGAACTCAACAACACATTAAAAGGATCATGCATCCTGATTCTTCTTTTTATAAATTGACTCAATATATGCAAATCAATTAATGCATTTCAATGCGTTTGACAAACGTTAACTTCAATCAAAAGGATCTGCAGAGATAACTCAAAGAACTGGAGTGTGTACTTTGTTTGCAGGAGAAACAGAACCCATCCCTAAGCACCATCAGAAGCAACCCCCAAGTACTGTTTGGTGTAGTCCAGAAACCAAACAAAGAACTAAAACATCAATTTGTGATAATATCAATAAATTGGGTGCTAACTTGCGAGTACATATGCTAAAATTAGAACAATAAAATATAAGCATGACTCCTGAACAATGATGGCATGTAAATTTGTGAAACATTTCATATTTTTCTTTCTCTTTGCAATTTTCCTCATCCTGTTTAGAGTCTATCACATGAGAAAAAAAGATGAGTGCGGTTACAACTTTGGAGAGCATCAGCCGTCCAAGCTCTGCCTACCAGAACTAGGGAGTTCTATGCACAAAAATCTCACTTAGGGTCTCTATTTATGAGATAACATAACTTTTAAGAAATGAAGCTTTTGAATAAAATAAGAATTTAAAAATTAATTAATTGGGAATAGAAGAGATATATCTCAACATAATAAAAACCATATATGACGCACGCAGAGTAAACACCACATTCATGTTGAAAAACTGAAAAGGTTTCCCCCTAATGTGTTTAATAATAGGAAAAATAATAAGATATCCACTATCACCATAACTGTTAAATATATTTGGAAGTTCTATCCAGAGAAATTAGGCAAGAAAAAGACATAAAAGAATCCAAATTGGAAAAGAACTAAAACCCATCTTTTGCAATGACACTACTATAAATAGAAAACGCTAAGGAATCCACCAAAAATACTGGAAAGGATTGATAACAATAATGTGGCAGACAAAAGACACATGAAAAAATTCTCTACATCTCTAATTATCAGGGAGATGCAAATCAAAACACCAATGAAATATCATCTCACACCAGAGAGATTGGTACACATAGAAAAGCACAAGAACAACCAGTGCTGGCATGGATACCAGGAGAAAGCGACTCTCATTACTGATTGGAATGCTAACTGGTCCAGCCTATTTGGAAAACAATATGGGAAGCCCTTCAAAAACTAGAAATTGAGCTTCCGTATGATCCTGCAATACCTCTTCTGGGAATATATCCCAAGAGCTCAAAAAAGCACAATAGAAAGGACATTTGCACCTGCATGTTCATTGCAACACTGTTCACAATAGCCAGAATCTGGAAACAACCATAATGCCTAAGAACAGACTACTGATTAAAGAAAATTTGGTACATCTACACAATGAAATACTATGTAGCTTTTAGGAAAGATGAAGTTATGAAATTTGCTTATAAGTGGATGGTCATGGAGAGTATCATGCTAAGTGAAATGAATCAGAAAGAGAGGGACAGATATAGAAGGACTGCACTCATTTGTGGAATATAAAATAACATAACATGAGACTTACACTCATGAACAGTAGAGACAGGGCCAGGAATATTGCTCCATGGTTGGTAGTAGCCTGCCTCATGAGCTGGGGAAGAAGGCAGCTGGAATAGAGAAGGGATCACTAAGTCACTGATGGTTGGAGGGATAGTTCGGGATGGAGATGTGTGCTGAAAGTAGATAAAGGACTGTACATGATAGCCTCTCAGCATCTGTATTGCAAACCATAATGCCCCAAAGTAGAGAGAAATTATGGGCAAAATTTTCTGCCATAGAGGCAGGGGGATGGGTGGGATGGGAGAGATACTTGGGACATTGGTGGTGGAAATTGTGCACTGGTGAAGCAATGGGTGTTTGATCATTGTATGACTGAAACTCAATCATGAAAGCTTTGTGTACCTCATGGTTATTAAAAAATAATGTGGCAGAATATAAAATCAAAATACACAATTCTGTTTCAGTTTGATATGAAAACATGAGTTGGAGAGGAAAAGAAATGGAATCAGCCTAGGTGTCCAATGACAGATTGAAGATGTGCTACACGTACACAATGGAAAATTATGCAACTACAAGGAACGATAAATTAATGAAATTTGCTGAAATTTGGCTGGAATTTCAGGATATCTAAGTAAAATAAGCCAGAAGAAGGACATACACAGAATAATCTTTCTTATCCGTGGTATGTAGAATAACTGGACGAAGGAAAACAGGGAATCAAATTGGGAGATAATTTTTTTTCTTTTCCTTGGGAAGGTCACAACTGGCAATACACAGGCTCTTCATTCAGGAATTACTCCTGGTGGTGCTCGGGAGACCATATGGGATGCTGGGAATCGAACCCACATCGGCCATGTGCAAGGCAAAAGCCCTCCCAATTTGTGCTGTCGCTCCAGCTCTGGGAGATAATTCTTAACCCTTAACCCAAAATATATAAAGGAAAAGGAGATAGAGGGAAAGGAATTGGGGGTGGGTAGCAAGAAGTATCTAATGGTAAGAAACATGGTCAGGGGTCAATGGCCTCAGATACATCAGTGGTGTAGATAAGTGGTCTCTTGATCACTTGACATCCCGTTACTCATTGATTTGCTTAAATTGGCGCCAGTGACGTCTCCAGTCATCCCTGTCACGTACTAGTGTAGCCCAATGGTGTCTGCTCGCTCCAGGAACAAGAAGAGCTTCAAACCATTCGTTCAGGGTCTTGACGAAGACATCTGACCATCTCATAGGTGGGCGGCCACACAATCTTTTGACATCCCGTGGAATCCAGTCGGTAATTGCTCTAGTCCAGCAGTCATCTCCAAATCGCATTACATGGCCAGCCAACATGATTTTCCACACCTTGGCAAAGAAGACAGCATCCCTGATTCTCCACTGTTGACAGAGGTTGGAACTCCTGATTCCTTCTCTAACTTGAGTGAAGCATGATACTCCAAGCATAGCTATTTCGATTCCTCTTTGGGAGATCCAAATTGTGTTCTTATCCTGTTTTCGTAGGGCCCAGGTCATGGAGAGGTATGTTAACGCAGAAAAGAACAGTGGAGTCGAAGAGATGTGTCCAGAGCCGGAGGTTCTTCTTCTTAGCTATTTCTTCAACACTCTTGAAGGCGTTCCATGCTGCTCTCTTCTTCCTGCACAACTCAGGTGCCAGGTCATTCATCATCTTGAGTTCTTGACCTAGGTACACATAACTGTTGCATTCGGAGATGTTCCTTCTGTTGAGCGTGAATGAAACGTCATGAACAAGTCCATTTCTCATAAACATTGTCTTCATGAGATTCAGCTGCAATCCAACCTTTCCACACACATGGTCAAAGTCGGCCAGCATTTGTGCCACTTGACTAATGTTTAGTGTTATTAGAATGATGTCATCAGTGAAGCAGAGGTGGTGTAGCTGCCGACTGTCTATCTTCACTTCCCATTCCAGTCGTTGCATGACGTTCTTGAGAGTGGCTGTGAAGAGTTTCAGTGAAATGGTATCACCCTGCCCAACCCCTCTCTACTTCATGGAGCTGGGAGAAAGGGCTGCAAAGTTTAAGAAGAGAACTGCCAGAACGACCACCAACTGGGAGCTTTTTGGCACTATTGAGGCAACATGGAAAGATGCCATTGTTGACAACATTGACGAAGAATACAATCAACTGGTTCAGCACCTCCATGATAGTGCGCAGAATGCCGAGAGAGAGATAGCCACAAAAAGATACCTGTCTTCAAAACCTCTCGAGCTCATTCGCCGATGTGACTTGGCACGAGCCTCTCAGGCAACCACAAGCGAACATCCGAGCTCACAAAGCAGTGCAGAAAAGCAATAAAGGAAGACCTTAAAGAGAAAAGAGCTGCAGTGCTGGCCGATGCAGTAGAAGCCGGGAAAAGCATTCGCAATGCCCGCCTGTTCTTCGCCAATTACAAGAACAAGATGACTGCCCTCCAACGTCCTGATGGATCTATCACATCTTCCAGAAGGGCAATGGAGAAGATTATTCATGACTTCTACTCAGATCTCTTCGATAGCCACGACCACCTGCCCACATACCAAATTCTGCAGGATGAATATGTCGTTTCCAATGTTCTCCCTTCTGAAATCCAACCCACCATTTCCTCAGAAAAGAAGTGAACATCACCCAGCCCAGAAAATGTCAGACCCAAACACCTGAAGAATCTGCCATCAGTACTCGTCAATACACTGGTTCGGCTCTTCACACACTACCTGTCAGAGTAGTGGTATGGATATATATCCAAACCATAGAGTCAACAACCATAAAGCAGGAGATCCAAACCATAACAATCACACTTTAAAAAGGTACCTGTGAAGGAAGAAGATTTGGGGGCAGGGGGATGATGGTGGAAGTGAACCTGGAGACACTGATGGAAGCAAGTTGACACCGATGGTAAGGCTGATGCTGGAATATAGGATGCGGATACTCATCTATGAATAACTTTGTAAATTTTGGTGCCTTGCACCCAAGAAAAGATAAAATACCTCGGAATAAATCAAGCAAAGGAAGTGAAAGACTTACACAGAAAGTTTTATTTCCAAAATAAATAGAAGTCATAAAGAAATTGAAAGATATCCATGTTCATGGATTGGAAGAATAAACATTGTTAAAATATTTATCTTAACTGGGGATAATGGAGGTAGCATTGAATATATTCCTCAAGTTGTTTCTCCTATAAGTCATAAAAGAGTATATATATTTCATTTAGGCATGTTACATTGGCTATAACTCGGTGCATTAGCCTGAAGATCATTCCAAAATCAACCAAAGTTTTCTTTCTAAAGTTTCTACAGATTTATTTCACAGAAACCCATCCATTTAAAGTGCATGTTTCAACGGTTTTTTGTATATTATCCACAATAAAACTTTAAAACATTCCATCCTCCCTGAAACTCTATACCCTAAAAGTCATTATACTTTTATCTCCCATTGTGACCACTATCCCATAAGCAACCACTAATAAACTTTCTGTCTACAAAAATTCTGCCTATTTTAGATATTGCAGGTGATATAATTGATAAATATGTGGTGGCCTGCCTAGCTTCTTTCAGTTAGCGTCCTTTTCAAGACTAAACTATGTTATTTCACGTACCAATATTTTATCTTTTATATCATGAACAATATTCCATTGTATAAATATACCACTTTTTGATTACCTATACATTTGCTATGAATAATGCTATGACGATCAACACACAAGTTTCTGTTTGAATGTGTGTCCTCAATTATCCTGGACACATTCCTAGGTCTCAAAGTGCTGTGTCATATGGCCTCTCCATGTTTAACTTTATAAATAACTATTAGGATGGCACACATCACAAAGAATGAAAGCAACCAGTATAAGAGCAGTTGTGGGGAAAGGGGGACTCTCACTCGCTGTTGGTAGAAATGTTGACTGGT